GCGAAGAAGATGAATAGGCCATAGGCGTGACAGCACCCTCGGAGCAGGGATGTTTGGTGCCATAACCGTGTCGACATGCTAATGGCGGAGAGATGAGAGGGCAGACAGCCACGGAAAGTGTAATTTTGGCGGGTGCCAGATGCTGAGGTGCACGGTGATCTGGTGAGTCGAGCGAACCAGTGTGGCAGAAGTAGTGCTGCAGCAACTGAAGCTCTACATGGCTGCCTTACCACAGTCCGAGTTCTCATGGCAAGGGCGTTGTGGTCACTGTGCCAGCTGCTGCTAACTTCTTACGATGTGAATTCTCTCAGATCAGCTACTATAGGCCGCAATAATGCTTCTGATACCCTCAGTATTTCACGAGTCCAGCTCGTGGACATTTATGCGTCGCAGCCAAAGAGCACGCTGTTGGTTGCAAAGCTCCTTGCAGAAGGAATTCCTGAGCTACAGAGCATTAGCCTTACACGGACTACGAATCGCGATGGCGACATTGGATAACAGGCTTGCTTGATGCTTTCATCTTCGCGGGCATGAGATGAGAGTTCCGAAATGCAAACGGGCAAAGGGCTCCTGGAAGCTTCTGCACGTTGCAAGTTCCACTCCCCGAGGGCTCATATAAGTTCAGGATGGAGGACTGACCAGCCCCGGCACCGCTTTCAAGTAACCGGGAAAGATTAGGGCTTGGGCCAACACGCTGAGGTCCAGTAGACTGGGATGGGGTCTTTACTCGACCCAACCTGTGCCTCAGCCCCTCTCAGCCCAGAAAGGCCCAGCACAGCGTCAGGTTGTTGATTCGCGTCTCCACCAAGTCGGAAGCTTTCTGATCCTGGGCATGCGAGATAGACAATGCCTCCAGGCAGGCTTCTCGTAACTTTGTGAACTATCTGTGAAATCTGTGGCACCTTTGGCATTTGCAGAGAGACATGTGTTTTGCCTGCATGTCTCCTGAAATTCTGCATCCGAAAGCTTGCGCTAACCACAGACAAGAAAGCCTAACAACCCGGTAGTCAGGCAGCAAAGTTGACGTCTTGTTGTACACGCTCATGTCATATGTTTCCTATTGCATAGCACCCGCATGGGGTGTTGGTATGTCCGCATATGGTGCAGAGCATGACAATTCTGCTTTGCACGTGCGAATCTATCTAGCAATTCAAAATCGATGCGACATGAAAATTGCTCGAGACCCCGACAGCCGCAGCGATCGCATGTTGCAACTTCCTGGCGATCTCATCTGCACTAGCTTCGCATTGCTTTAGCCGGGCAAGGGAAACTTGCAGCCCGCCTGATCTCGCTCGAATGCTTGTCCTGGAACAACTTAACATTTGCTATGTGTGTTGTTGTCTCGCATGTCCGCGGGCATCGTTGTATTGGGCTTGGGGTAGCGCAGGCATTTCAGACACAGGCATGTAAGCAAAAAGACAGAAAACAAGCAAGAAGCCAGATGTGAGGCCCACAACTCGTGAACGGCTGCGTCTGAAGGAAGCAGACAGCTGCAGAAGCACAGTGGAGACGCCGAACATGCGAATGCAGTGTGCAGGAGTTGTGGGCGCAATCATCAACCATCTACAAGCAAGGGCTTTTGCACGAGAGCTTTAGAAGCCGCCCAGATGGAATTCATACAAGAACTCGCATGACTGGAACGCCGGATCACACAAAAACTGCTGCAAGAGAACATGCTAGTATACTGAGCCCAGCAATCCGCTTCGCCTGCTGGAGTTGAAGATTCTGCAGGAGGGAAAGCGTGCCCTGACAAGCTGGCGATCCGCAAGCTCACGGAGGTCGGAGTACTAGTCTGCGTGTGATAGAAGATGGTTACATGTTGCCTGCTCCATGCTGGTCTGCAGATCTACATAGCCGGTTTTCGAGTACGGAGAGGTATGGACACGTGTCTCTTTGAAATGGGCTCGGAGTTCGGATGGCAGCTCACAGAGACTGAAGACGGTTCAAACGGAAGCCCTTGCTGTTTTCGAAGCCAAAACTGCAGGGCTGGCGGTTGCTGGTGTTGTCATGCTCGTCGTCGTCGTCGTCGTCGTCGTCGTCATCCTCATGGTCTTCGTGCTTGAAGCCGCAGTAAGACTCATGTTAATACTCGCAGCAAGGAGGAGGGGGAGGGGGAGCAGCAGGAGGAGATGATGCTTGCAGCTGCGGCTGCAGCGGCTGCTGTTGTTGTGGGTCTTGCGTTTGCAGTGACCTTTCCTGGTGTTGCATGAGATTTGTGCAGTGGCGTTGTTGCTGCTGCTGGCCTGCTTTATTCGTCCTTCTCACGAATGTTGTTGTTGAAGTGAAGTGGCTGGTGTGCTGGCTATTCATCTTTTTGGCTGCCGTTCTGTCCGGCATTGCTTTCCTGCTGAGGTGATGAGCTGAAAAAGCAAAGGGCCTGCCACTTGTCATCCAGCTTGTCCAGAGCACCTTTGGTCGTGTCTGTGTTGCCTGCATCGGGTAAACGAACCAAGGCAGCCACCAGGCGTCACGGATCGGGCCAGAATTGGGCCTCGAATGTCGGAGGCCTCTGCACGCGTGGCCAGAAGCAGTTGATGCATGGCCGTCATTCGGGTGTCCTGTGCAAGGCTTGATCTGCGCTTGTGACACATAAGCACAGAATGATACATGCGTATAATCGGGCCATCAACAAAAATTGGACAGCACATCAGCCATCAAAACATTACCAAAAGAACCATACGGAATGCCTTGCAGCTGCGCCACGACTTGGAAGTCAGACATCGCTCCATTATCAATCATTAAAGCCTGTAGCCTTTCTCGGACATTGACGTAACTAAGGCACTAAGGGCAATTGGCGAATGGGCGGTTGCATGCAATCTTGGACTGTTCCACTGTTGAAAGCCGCGAATAACTAGACTGTAACCGGCCCCGATTATGACAACAGTCCTTGGCTGCGACAGAAGAGCTCAAATTCTGCAGCTCGTGCTCTTGCTCTTCTATTTTCGCATCTCGGCACGAGACAGCTGGCACAAGCTGGCTTTGGTGGCAGTCAGCACCCCTCTGAGCACGGCACTCTGCTTTGCCATTTTCTCGGCGAACTTGACCACCCTTGCCTCAGCTTTGAGATGCTCTCTGCCCAGCTCCTCCCTACATGTAGTGTAATTATGCACACTGCGTTGCCTCCATCTCGTACAGCGCACCCTTCATCTGGCCGATCTCCTGCTTGCAAACGCAACCAAGCGCAGTGATGACATTCGGATGAGTTGCTCGCCCCCTGCCCCTGCCCGGCATTCTGAAGCTTTCGAGTCCTCGGTCATAGGGTTCAATGTGCTGACAAGGTGGGACTGGACGAACTCCTGCATAACTTCCTCGGCATCACGGAGGGCGCACGCTCATGAGCATGACCTGCTTTTGTTATTCTTCGGTCTGGGAACGTCATCCTCGGTGGCCAACTTCATCTTCGGCGGTGGCAAAGCGATGCCTGGGAGAGGCACTTCATCGGTGCAACGAGAGTCCGTCGAAGGAGAACAGTCTATGTGGTAATGTAGGCTCACAAACACAACCGCAGCGACCCCTGGCACGATCTTGGAATTTCTTCGCACTGCGCATCTCGAAGATGCTGATTTCCGACTCAGATTGTCAGTGGGGGCACCTTTTCCCTAAGCCACAGTCCGAAGCTGAGGAGACAGTTTTTGGGGTCTCGGGGCTGACACCAGGTGGAGCCCTTGTAGCTCCCGACATCTCCACGATTCCCCGCCTTCTCGCTCACTTAATGCCTTGCAACGTTGAGCCATCCCTCGTCTTGTGCCTTAATTACGGACCCCTGCACTGCGTGCAAAGAAGTAGCCTTTCAGCTCGGGGGAGTAACGGTCCTCTCCACTCCTCCAGCAGACACATGGAATGCAACGTAATCCTGCGAGTCGCTGACACTTGCAACCCGGAACTGCCGTGCGTTCTCCTTGACGACTCAATCAAAAACAGCGATCGCAGTGGGCACTGCGACGGCGATTGATACAACAGACAGCTCCCTATGTAGCGGGGTAGCTGCAGCTAGTTATGACACCAGAAAAGTTGGACCACCTCCTGCCATCATGCTGCATGCTTAGAATGTAGGAAAGCTCACTGCTACCAGACTGTCGCAGACCCTGCTTGCCAACAGTTTCAGGAACATCGAGATTCTGCACTCCTCCAGGTGTCCGTGGTGGAGCCCATGAGATCCTGAAGACCAGTGGCTCACAAGCACGGTTTCAGGCACGAGGTGCGCAGGACTCTGGTTGGGATGGAAGCATGCACGATCCGGGTCGCAGCAACAAAGCACACTGCAAGCACTCCCAACTGACATTTCACCAACACGATAGTTATGCTCTCTGGAGAAGTACCCGGATCGATGTTTACTCTAATCTAAAGTCTATTATTTGGGAAGTTGCGGGGTCGCACAGGGTGGAAGGACATGGACTCCAAGAGGAATGCTAGGGTATGAAGACTCTTCGAAGGTGACCATGAAACAACACGGATCCGCCAAGCTGCTCTCGGAGTTCCAGGCTTTGCTCCCAAGGGGGTGCCGGGCTTTGCGAAAGTGTCCTCCTGAGAAAGTCTGACGCAGCGAGTCCAAACACGCAGGCACTACTAATCAGTCACTAAGCGTGAAGACTTGGTGCCCGAATGCGCACCGCGTCTTCACAGTAGTCAGCCCTTGCCCACTCTGCGCTCCTTCACAGTAGACTGCATGGTGGCGGGTTGAGGCTGTGTCTAAAAGCTCAGGACCGATGCTGCCGATGCTTGTTTTTTTTACGATTGCTTTTGAGATGCCTTGGCCTTCACAAGGACGGACCTTGCGACTCCGAGCTATAACCGGCCTGCGGCCTGTCTATACTTGGTTCCTCGAGAGCCAGTGCTATGGAAGCGGTGGCATGCGATGCTTCTCCGGCCTTGACACTGTCCCAGCAAGGGCTGACGGGCGGTGCGAGTGCGTGACTGGACGAGAGACTCCGACTCTGACTTCGCCCCCTTGCGGGTTCGGCTCCCGGTTCCCGTCCCTCTAGGCTCTCTGGGTGCAGGGCCGTGTTTTCTCTGGCAGCCGCTCATGAGAATCCTGGCCAACTGGCAAAGCCTGAGCACCGAGAGAGGCCACGCAAGCTAGGGGAAAAAAGCTCCTTTCTTGCAGTCGGAGCCCCCCCCCTTCCCCCGACCAGAGGTGGATTGGTAACCGACAACTCCCGCAAGCTCGGCAGAGCTACGTGTAGCTTTCGTGACATCGGGTGACAAGGCGTGCAGTACTACAGTAGCAAACATGCTATGTTGGTGTTGGGTAAGTCTGAGATGAGTGGGGAGCTCGGCATGCGAAAGGCTGGCCCAAGTGCGCCTCATCGCGGCGTAGGGTGTCTGCGCACCTCCAGGGGGCCCGAGTTGGGTGAGGGCGTTCCGAGCCTGGGCACTTCAAGGCCTCTCCATGCAGAGCCTGGTGATGCTGTTCATCCGGTCCTCTCAAAAACTTTGCACTTCCAGTCTGGTTCTCGGCAGCTCTCCCGACACGAATGACAAGTTGAGACACCTTGAGACCTTCAAATGCAAACCACGACACAAAGACATGATACGAGTGCAGGACGAAGGCAAGAACGGCCGGCTCACGAGCATGCAGCATGGGATGAGGACACCAGCGGAAAACCTGCGCACACGCAACTGCGACGATGCGACACCAAGACACGATGCGCGAGGACACGAGACACGAAGACCCGACGCCAGACGCGAAGCCAAGGGCACGAAACAGGAAACCGCGACAAAGATGCGAGGATCTAATGACTGCAAAAATTGTCACGAGGGCTCATTGTTCACATCTTTCACGCGTGAACCATACACCAATAGTTGCGAGGCCTCGCGACCTGTTCCACCGCCAGGATTGGGCAAAGCAACGCTTTCGGTTGACCGTCTCGAATTTCTCTCGCAGCACAGTATCGCTGTAAATGCTTGTTCTTTGGGGCTACCGGTTTCGAAAACTCTTGCAGCACCTGTATGACGAACATGCACATTTGTTCTTTTGGGGCAACGAGGTTGACATTTCTCGCAGCACATGTATATCGAGCATGGTGGGTGCAAACTGCTTTGGGGCAAACGGTCCCGAGATTTCTCTCGCAGCGCATCGTGGTCGAATCAGGATCCCTACCACGTAGACCTCCAAGAGCTTCAATAGGGAATCCTCTTGCTGAAAGCATTGAGGAGCCAGCCTTCCCCGAAACAGAGCACTATCAGAGCCATTGCACTCGGCAGTCCTGCTCTCCCTTCGCAGTCAGCAGCACCCTGAAAGGGAGCTGTTTTTCAGAAGGCCAGCATTTGCATCGTACAAGTTCGTACAAGTTGATGTTCGTGCGACATGCGGGTGGAGGCATGGGATGACTCATGCTTGGATAGGTCACTGGCGACGACGTAGCGCCGGAACACTGACAAATTGCCCCAGGCTGGCGAAGCGTCAAAGCCCAAAGGCAGACAGTACATTTGCTGCAGGCTCAGACTGAGGGCATGGAGCTTTATGGTTGTCGATTTGGCTCTCTGTGTCTGTGTCTAGAGGTAAGACGCCAAGTTGCACGTCGGCCGGCGTCATCGAGGGCGTGAAGGCACTGCCGAGGCAAGGTTCGGATTCTTGGTACTCGCACCCAAGGCAAGCGCAGTTCTGGGCCTCATGTCGAAGACGCTGGCAGCTTGGCAGCAAGGGTGATGTCTAGGCCGGCTCTGCTGGCTACCTCTCCGGCTTCAGCTGCTGCTTGCTATGTAGCAATGTAACTCTAGTCGCCAACTTGCCTGGCTAAAATCAGGGGATGCCTTCTTTTGCACATTTGGCTTAGGTCCAATGAACACGTTCGACGTGAGCAAGTCGTGGGCGTGAGCATTCACGTGCTTCCGTGGGCGACATCCGTTGAGCCAAAGCAGCATCGCAAAGAGAACAATCCCAGGCCGTGCATGACTAATCTTCGGGCATCATCGAACATCACAGCCACGATGCAGCTTGAAAGGTACGAAAGCGGCCCATGGCCTCCGCAATGATGTAGTTCAGTGTGATCCAGGGAACGCCGGGCTGAGATTCCAGGTACATCTGCACCTGGAAAAGGCGTTCGACGCGACAGATGTGTCTAATTCGCAAGTCTCCCGCAAGCAGGAGACTTTGTGATATCGGCAGAAGGTAAACAAAGGCCCCTGGAAAGGAGGCCGATCTGAAGAAGGCTTCGAGCAAGTCCTGGCCTAAACTTCCGAAGTGGACACTTCTTTGAAGTCTGCGGCTTTCAGGTGAAGTGCAGGTCTACAGATTCCCAGCCTGCTCGCGGGACACCTTTCGGGGCAGTTTCGCTGAACGATCATGGAGTACAATGAAGATGGGCACCACGACTTTCAGGAGTCACAGCCTTGCCTGGAAGTCACTGTCCATCCACTCGTACGGGACGTTCCAGCCTGCTGGCTACTGCTTGTCGCTGGCTAGAATGCAACCTTCTGATTTGCAGGTCTAGCCACCGAGACAGCAAATTTTGTTTGGATAGCCCAACACGACCTGATATCATGATATCGTATTCCTGACACCTTCGTCTTTAACTTACATCGCTGCTAGGCATGAAGCTCGTCGCTCCCCAAAGGGGCGCACCGATGGGGCCAAACTTCCGCCGCTCGAGGATGGCAGCATGGAAAAAGGCGAGTGCGTATCTGGGCAGAATCTTTAGGCCTCCATGTTGACACAGCACTTCGAGGGCGATGTCTCTGCCTTTTCTCTCGCACGGGCTCCGTGCAAAGGAGTGTCGGACATGGAGCGAAGCACTTTGCGCGCTGGGCACTCCAGCTCGGTATTAATCGGAGGAATTTCCAATTGCCGGTAACAACTAAACCGCACCGAAGGCCTCAGCGATACACGCAAAGCATCGTTGGACACTTCGGCCCCTACTGGGACTGCGCAGTTTTGAAGGTTGCACATGTTGCCATGCTTGTCGTTGTCTTGCCTAGAACAACGACACAAGAAACGTTACGCTCAACATCGAGATGTGTCTTGCACTTTGCGAATCTGCTCTTCAACATGACAGAATGTCTGATGAACAAGTATCGTGGCAAGTCTCAGCAATTTGGGTGTAGTCTCATCGCTCTTGTCAGTGTCATTTCGCTCATCATCAATGCCAGGATGATGATCATCGTCATTATCCATCATCATCATCCTCATCATCAGCAGCAGAAGCATCACCGACAGCAGCTGCCAACAGCATACGGAATCAACAGCAATGCGCTTTTCAGCACCGTTGCAGCACCGTCATACCACATCGGCGACGATGACGGCTACGACAATAAAGATAAATCCTTACGCTGCGCATGGTGATTGTGATGGCGCCGGTACCAGTACTGCTTCTGATGCGGGCAGTTTGCCGTAACTATGCTTAATGAGGAATATGCTTTGCCAATTTGGTGAGTTTAGCCATACACATGTTTGTGTGCTGGTGTGAGGTGTGCTCCTCTTGAAGAAGAAGCACAGGCAGGCAGCTCTCGAATTGTTCGCTAAGCCTTGCTGGCCTTGGTTCACTGCGCAGTCTGTGAAACGACTCTCTTCGGAGGGTCTGCAGCATCCAGTTTAGTGTCTAACGTTTGTCATGAGCTAAGATGCCCCAAACTTGCAACCACCGGCGTAAAGAATGCATGCCTCACAGCGAGTCACGTGTTAGGGTTAACGGATGGTAACGGGTAACGGTAACAATATGATGACATGGAGCAACGCACTGTTGCAGAGCTCCAAGCCCGGCTGTATTGCACTACGAGCCTTGGTGCAGCCAGCGGAGCCTTCTGAACTGTTCTTCACTTCCAGTTTAGCTCCCCCGCCCTCCCTCGCCAGCCGCTAGTGCTATCCAACCCATAGAAGCTGTGGCGTGAGTCATAGAGGTAGGCTTCTATTAACTACACAACTTGAGAGCAGGGCGGACGAAAGCTAGGGACGAGAAGTTGATATGCCGAGGAACAAGAAGGTAGAGAGACGTTAATATTATGTGCGCGTCGGGGCGGCAAACGACGAGCATGCGGACAGGTCCAGGATGCGAGCGTTGTTTGCTCCGATGAGACGTATGGCTAGAAATGCAGTGGAGCAA